GGCTCATCCGTCCTGGATTCCCTGTATTTTCAGTTCCTATCTGTACCAGTGTATCTCCTCTGGTCTAGCCAGACTTGCAAGTTGGAATTCGAGTCATGGTAGTGGGGCGGGGGAGGAAACATTTAGGAATTAAAGGAAGGTTGTATTTCTCATCGTTGTTACATCGCACCCTGACTGGCTCATCTCCTCTCCGGGACTCCTCTGCAAGGGGATCTCCAGTGCCAAGCACTGCTCTTTATGCATCAGCTGCACTATATCGTGTCAGCCCTCTGGGTGGGTATTTTATTACCCTCCTGTTATCCCGATCTGATGCGGCCTCGTCCTGCACTGGTGATGCGGGAGTGCTATGGAGTGGCCCTGCCTGTGTGCAGGGTAGCCTTTCTCCAGGTGGCTCCTTCGCTTGTTCCCTGGATCCTTGCAGTCATGGTGCACGGAGAGAACCTGCTGGTTTTCAGGAAGCCGTGGAAGCTCCCGTGTCATTGGGCAGACCAGAGGGTGGGCGAGGCTCCTGCGATGGGCTCTGAGCTCAGGAGGCCTGCTCTGCCTTTTCCCTTCTTCCCACAGAAAGATTTGCTCCTCAGTGAGATCCCAGGTAGCTCCACGTCTCTCTGCTCCAAGAAGGTGGGTGTGGAGAGGGTGATGGCGAGAGGGATCTGCAGCAAGTACCTGGAGCAGCACGCAGGGTGGCTCCCCGAGGATTGCGCCGAGGCCCTGGCCACTGCCGCCTGCCTCTGCCTGCGGAGACGCAACGCCAGCCTGGCCGAGGTGAGAACCTTACCTGGGGAGCCCCTGCCTTTGCCAGGGTACATTTTCGTGAGCCACGGCTATATTTGGTGACAAGGCACAGAGGCAGCTCCCGTGTTCCCTCGAGCAATGAAGGGATGTCGATGGGTCACCCACAGGATGTCTCAGGGACTCCAGGGAAGGACTAGAACCACAGTGTCCACAGGAGGATGCACCACCATGTCCCGAGGCCAACCTCCTAGTGTAGCAGTTCACAGCCTTCCTAGTGCCCCGACCCTTTCATATAGCTCCTCATGTGGTGATCCCCCAACCATCAAATTATTTTTGTTGCTACTTCATCAATGTCATGAATTGGGCGACCCCTGTGAAAGGGTCATTTGACCTCCAAAGAGGTCGCAACCCACAGGTTGAGAACCACTGACCTAGAGAGAGAAAAAATGATCAGTCAAGTTTAGATCATGTGTCTGCACCTTGGTGGGCAGGGCAGGTGAGGGCTGTGGGGGCAGGCAGACAGTCATTGTTGAAAAGCTCCAAGCAGTAAAGTTGGGAGAGAAACCTGCTCAGTGTCCGTCACCTTGCCTGGTATACGAACAGAAAAGCCTGCACGGGCTGAGAGTGAGGCCCACCCTCGGACACAAGGTGGTGCTTCCGTCTTAAGTGCCCTCTCTCAGACAACGCACCGTTTGTGCTCCTACGTGAGAGCACTCGGCATTGCGCTTTTCCGCCTTGTGCGTCATTTGCGTAGGATACCCCAACCACGGCTCCAAAGGAAGTTAGGGAGACCAGCAGCAAAGCCGAGAGGAACACTGAGCCGCGATAGAGTCAGAAAGAAATCATGGTGAAATTTGAATCTGGCCGCCGCGTGTCTCATTCGACAGCTAGATACAACCTGGCAACGTCGACCTTCTCAACGTTTCTGGGGGGATAGGTGGTGGGCGGCGAGTGTAGCGAAAGATGTGAAAGTGTTGACCATAGAGAACCCAGGCCATCGAAGAGGTTGAAAAATGACCGTGAATTCGGATAAATCAGAGAAACAACTCTATGGCGTTCGCGTACCCAAGACAGTGATGGTGATTGTGAGTTTGTAAGTGCAAGGTTAATAGGTGTCCCGTAGTCCTCATGGGAACAATTCAGTGTTTGGACGCAGATTTGGCAGGAACTGAGTTCCCCATTGAGGGGGCATCACGGCGGTCTGCCTGCTGAGGGCCTACCCTGCCGGATGCAGAGGACAAGGCAGACCCCATGGGGACCAGCACCTTCCTCGGGGCCGCGAAAAGTAGAGGGGGAGCCCACGGAGCCGGCCTCCGCTTGGGGGCCGCTGCCACATCTTTCTAAGGACAAAATCACGCCCTGAGGGCTTAGGCATTAATTTTCAAGTCCCTGCCGGCGAGGGAGCTTGGTGTATTACTTCAGGTGTGGCAGAAGGAGGGTGAGGGAGCTGCAGGGAGAGGTGCCCCCTTTTAGCCTCCAGGCTCTTGACGGGCTCTCAGTGTGACTTCATTTGAGGAAGGGGTCCGACAGTTGAAATAACCTTCCGACGCCAGTGCTCTCCTGTGAGGCTCCTGTCTCAGTGGGGGTGGGGGTGGGTGAAGGCCCAAAGAGATGAGGGCGCAGAAGGACTTTGTGCCAACAGCCAGGACCATGAGTCCACGCTCAGCCACCTTGCCCACTGGCCCTGCCGGAGCCAGAGTCCTGAGCCATGGAGTCAAACCAGGGCTTGTCCCAGCTGCCCCCAGGCCCCTGGCATCGAGTCCTTTTCCAGTTCTGCTGCTCGGGCCCTGGGTGTGTATGGGTGCAGAAGGCACCCTCCGTCATGTTGGCCAAGGCAGCTGTCTGTGTGCTGAGTGCTAAGGCAGCCTCTGATGAGGCCTGCCCCCCAGGACTTCCTGAGGAAGTGAGGGGTGAGCAGACCAAGAGGGATCCCAGCACAAAGAACAGCTCATGCCAGTGTTTGGGGGGAGAGAGAGCTTGCCAAAACACAGGCAGGAAGAAGGCCCGTGGACTAGAAGACAGAGAACAGGGGAGTGTGGTTTGTCAGGGCAGTGTTGGGGACAAAGGGCTCAGTCGGCATGGCAGGCAGGGATGAGACACCCACCACTGGCTCTGTGTTTTAAAAGGGTCTCTCTTCCTCCACCAGACACTCTCTCCTCCTTTTATTCGTGTAGTGTCTCGGGCTAAGCAGCCGTGAGGAAATTCAGAAGCACAGTGTTTAAGATGAGGGAGACGTGAGCTGGTCCTTAGGGCTGCTGTTGTCTCCCCCTCCCCCAGGTGTGTGGCCCTGTGGACGCCGTGGAGGAGCGGCTCCGTGGCACGGGCACGTCGCCCCTGGGCGGCAGGTTTTCCGAGGCCACAGGCACCCCCTCTAATACCCCAGAAGAAACGGACGACGTAGACAACTCCAGCCTGGAGCCCGCCGGGAGGGGGCCTGCCTCATCGCCTCTCCCTGCCCAGGATGGAGAAGGAGGGCCAGGGGCCAGCCGGGAAGTGGAGGACGCCGCCTCCTCTGAGACCTGTGCCAGTCCGGCGCCCCTCCAGGATGGTAATTCTGAGCGTGGGAGTCTGGGTACCTGAGCACGCGCACTCAGCACTGGAGGTTGGCCCAGTGTGTCCTCAGCCCATCCCTTCATCCGTTTAGTCAGCCAGCCAGTCTCTGACGGTTGATGTTGCAGAGAGAAACCTGGGAGTCCTTGACCCCACCCCTCCCCGGCTCCCTGCCCTCTCCCCCGGCAGCACAGCCGAGCTCCGAGCTCCTGCTGGGATGATGGCAGGGACCTCTCTGCACCCCTTGGACCTGCTCTGGCCCTGCACCAGCCAGAGTGGATTTTGAAAACCCAAACCAGGTCACCACCCCATGTTGGATGCCTGTGCATCCTCATTTTACAATAGACCCCCAGCTCTCTTAATGATCCCTCTCTCCTCTCACACCCAGCTTCTGACGTCCTCGGAGACAGGGAGTCGGAAGGTGCCTTCCACACCATGTCCCTGGCCCTGGAGAACATGGCTCAATGCGGATCCCAGGCTCCACCGGCTCCTGCCGGGCCTCCTCTGTGGTGGTGGGGGGCGGGGGAGGAGAGAGCAGGGAGAGGAGAGAGGCCCTCAGTGTCCCCCCCAAAGTGCCCACTCCCGGCAAGGGTGGGTCTCAGACTGCCCTACCAAGGTGGAGTAGAGAAAATGCCCATTAAGCTCAGGGCCCGTTCAGATCTGAGAGAGGGACTGGTGCAGTCTGACTCTAAGAACTGTAATGGCGACTCTTTCCAAATGCCTGTGCCCAAGCTGTTCTTCTCTCCTTCCTGGTTACGGTCAGGCTCAGACGCTTCGCTGAAAATCGAGATCAATGAGGCCAAGCGGAAGCTGATGGAGGACATCCTGCTCTACAGAGAGGAGAAACTGGACAGCATCGAGCTCTTCGGCCCCTGATGACCTGGTCTGAGCTGACGACCCTCGTCCTTATGTTGGAGACCAACCCAAAAGACCAAACTCACCATCACTGAGTTGACCCCAGAGGACAGCGTGGAACTGCCCCTGTGAGGAGTTTCCAAGGCTGCAACTCTTCATGGGAGCAGAAAGCCTCATCTTTCTCCCTCGGTGCAGCTGGTGGTTTCGAACTGCTGACCTGTTGGTTCTGAATGGCGGCGTGAGCACTACACCACCAGGGGTCCCCGAGAGTGAATTTGAGAATGAGGTCTAAGGCAGAATGTAAGCTGTCCCAGGAAACCCATCCGTTTCATCTGCAGCGAGTTAGGAAGAAAGACCTTCTTCTGCTTTCAGAGCTATAAAAACCTGAGAAGCCCGCTTCCTCCCAGAGTGGGTTTAGTCAGCTGGGTGCCAGAAGAAACAGAAGTGGAAAGTTGGGCCCTGGGGCCCAGGATGTGGGTGCTTTTGTGGTTCCAGGAGGCATGAGAACCACCCCACCCAGTGCTCACCCCTCAACAACTGATAGTGACCCCTCTGCCATGTCCACGTGCAGACCTCGGCTCGTATCTGCCCTTATCCCTGGACAAACGGACTTCCGGGTCCGGGCAGAGTGTCCGACTGCAGGTTTTGACTCGCCTCTCAAGTCCTCATGTTAAAATGCCAGACCCCTGGCAGTGGACTTCGTCGGGTCTCGGCTTCCTTTGTGGGAAATGGACAGCAGAGAGAGCTACCGAGTGCCATCTTCGCACCTCTGCCCTCCCAGCCCGCCCCCGCGGAGGCTTTGGACAGGCGTTCCTTTGGCAATCTACGTTACTGACGGCCTCTCGAGGGGCCAGGAGGGCTGTTTGTCTGATCCTGCTGCTAATGGAGTCCTTTGCTGAGTCCCGGAACGGCAGTCTCCTCCCGAAAGACAGCCCTGGCTCAGCCTCTCGCTGTCCCTGGGCTGCTGGGGGGAGCTGGGGACGCCGGGCCAACAGAAGCACTTTGAAAATGGAGATCAGCACACCCACAAAGGTCTTAGGTGCAGATGTCCTCCACGTACCTGACATTCATGCAGCATGTGGTTCTACAGATGCTGGTTTAAATTCACCGGGCGACTCTACCGAGGTGTTTATTTTATTTCATCTTATTTTATTTGTGAAGTAAAACTATATTTGTACATTGAAGGAACGCCTACCTTGTCGTTTTATTTTGTGCCAAGGGAATTTGTTTTGAGAACGTGTCTTCTAGGCATAAGAGGGACGTTGTGAGAAGTTAAAAGCTTGAATGCCGACCCTGAATGTTGCCCCTATTAATAACTATGTAGTCTTGGGCCACGTTAGAGAGTGAATCTGAGCCTCGGTCGCTTATCTATACAATGGGGATTGTTGAAAATACCTGCCCCATTGGACAGATGTCAGAGAAAGGGCGGGTCTCCCCGTGAGCAGCACCCTCAGCCAGTGCTTCCTAGCACTGCGCATAACCAGGCCTGGGCCCCGACTCAGGGCACACTGGTCTGTCCAGACACCCCATTTAAGCTCTTGGGGCTGGGCGGATTCAACCGGAGAACTTTCCATGGGGCCACCCCGTGTCAGAGCAGACCTGCTCCGGAGGGTTTGTAACGCCATGGCGTCTCTGCTAGATCACAAGGCCTTTCTAGGTGCCTCTGGGCAGGTTCAAACCACCAGTCTATGCTGCGCGGTCAAGCACTTCACTGTTGGCACCAGTGGGGACCACAGTGTGTAGTAAGCCCCTCACCATTAGAGTAGCATGCTTCCAGGCTGACGACGAAGACGATGGGGGGCTGGTTGTCCTGACAACCTGCATCTCCAGACGAGCACTTCTGGCAGTTTGCCCGGGGACGTGCATCCCTTGGAGAATCTGCTGAAGGCTGCAGCTCTTTGCTCAGCACACTGTGGAGCCATAATGCCCAATTCTGTGTATGAATTCCAGGGGCTCCAAGCGCCAGGGGGCAGGTCCATGGGCTCCCAAGGCCAGGTCTACCTGGTGAAAGGATTCAAATGACCAAAAAATCCAAACATGAAAGGTTGCTGCAAGGTTCAAAGGATGTCGTTCCCCGCTGGCTCCCCTCCCCCCTCCCCACCCCTCTGGGCTCTCACTTCTGCTCCCCAGAGGCAGTTGCTGTTACTAGATGTACTTTAGAGAAAATTTATACATTAAAAAAAGATCTTCACGCTCAACACCAGCAGTTAGAGACATGCAAATCCAGACCCCAGGGAGACACCACTGCACACACGTGAGGATGGTGAGAACCAGAAAGATGAGGGCTGATGAGGGAGTGGAGAAGTTGGAGCTCTCGTCCACTGGTGGGCACGTGCAGGGGGCTACTGCTGCGGAATAGAGGTCCACGGCTCAAAAGCTGAAGCAGAGCTCTCGTGTGTCCCAGGACGATCATCCGTAGGCATTTACAAGAGAGAGAAAAGCACACATCCACAAGGACAAACTTGTCTACTGATTCACACAGCATTACTCATTGAAGCCAAAACGTGGAAGTGACCTAAATGTCTCCCAACTGAAGCATGCATCATTTAAATGTGGTCCAGCCATACAAAGGGATATTATCGAACCATGAAAAGAAATAACATCTGGTACAGGCTTAAAGAGTTGAGTCTTGAGAACGTTATGCTAAGTAAGCCAGTCATATTCCTTGATTCCATGTTAGGAAGTGTCCAGAAAGAGAAATTGACGAGGACTACCAGCTGTCTACCAGGCTGTCACATTGTGATTGTTAAGGTTTTGCGCCAACTTGGCTGGGCCAGGGTTCTCGGTGGTTTGGCAGTTAAAGCAGTAATAATCACCCATGATGACATCCAACATAGTGTAATCACTTTGACAATGAGATCTGCCATGAGCGGCCAATTAATCAAAGGGAAGTTTCCTTGGGGGTGTACCTGAGGGAGAAAAGCTTGTTTTTTGCTGGGCCAGATCCTGCAGCTGGCTTGTCATCTGACCTCCAGTTCTTTGGACGCGAGCCTGTGGCCTTGGAGTTGTCAGCAGGCTGCCATCTGACCTGTCCCTTGATCTGCTGATCTTGGGTTCATCGACCTCTACTTGAGTCAGGAGAAGCCTCCAGTCTGACATCTGGCCCATGGACTTGGAACTTGCCCGTCTCTCTCGTGTGTGGGTGATTTCTCTTTATAGTCATACATACATGAATTGACACATAGCCACACACCCCTCTGCCGGGGGAAGAACAACAGACAACATGGGGAAGGGAGACAGCTGTCCGTGTGAGAGATGAAAATAATAACAATGTACAATGTATCGGGGTTATGAGTGCGGGGGGAGGGGGGGAATAGCTGATACCAAGAGCTCAATAGAAAGTAAATGTCTAGAAAAGAATGAGGTCAACATATGTCCAAACATGCCTGATTCAATTGATGTATGGATTGTGATAAGAGTAGTACAAGCCCCCCCAAATGATTAAAAATAACAACAAAGAGTTGTATGAGCCCCCAATAAAATGATTTAAAAAACAACAACAAACAATACCATAGACAGGGAACAACTAGGGAATTAAAATCAACAATGAGGAAGATGTAGAGATCCTAGTGGTGCTGGAGAACAGCAATCTAGCTGGGGGAATTACTAAGAGGTGGAAGAAGGGCGAGCGTGATGGATCTGGAAGAAGGTAAAAGGAAACCCGAAAGATCTAGGAAGCAAAACTATGGATAGAGGTATAAGCATAGGTGTGTATGTATATATATGTAAATATTAATTAAAAGAGGTATTGGCCTATGTACATATATTTATATGGCAATACACTGAGATAGTAGATGGAGTAGATTTCTCTATAGACAGCTAGCTGATAATCTTCAGGCAGATAACCTTTAAACCAGTGGTTCAACCTGTGGGTCTCGACCCCATCGGGGGTCAAACAATCCTTTCATAGGGTCACCTAAGAGCATACTTCTGATGGTCTTAGTAACCAAGACACTGCTCCTCTATCCTTCTCCAGGCATGTCCACCCACATGCAGATACGCCCACATATGGGCATATACTGCATTAAAGGGCTGCGACATTAGGAGGGTTGAGAACCACTGCTTTAAGCAGTTGACCTCCAAGTGTACAGTCAGTGCCTTAGGTTTGGCGTATATTATGGGGGGGGGGGGGGCATTCTGAGGAATAGCTTTCCTGTTTCCCTTACTTATCTAGATGGAATCCATATAAATCAAATTCACTATATATGTGGAAAGAGATGATACAGAAGCTCAATATCAGCAGCTAAAACCAGCCCAGGAGCTGACTGGAACAGACCATCAATTTCTCATACATAAATTCAGGTTGAAGCTGAAGAAAATTAAAACAAGTCCACTGGTGCTAAAATATAATCTGGAGTCTATTCCACCTGAATTTCAAGAACCTCGCAAGACCAGATTCGGTACATTGAACACTAGTAACAGAAGAGCTGCTGGGCTGTGGATGACGCGAAGAAAGAAAAGATCAACGTGGATGTCAGAAGAAACTGAAGCCTGTTCTTGATTGGAGAGTAGTTAAAGCAACTGGAAGAAATTAAGTAAAAGAAGTGAAAAGAAAATTTCAAAGGGCAGTTTGAGAAGACAAACTATTATAATAAAACCTGCAAAGATCTGGAGTTCGGAAATCAAAAGGAAGAACATGCTCAGCATATCCGCAACTGAAAGAACCGAAGAAAAAAATTCAAGTCTTGAGTTGCAAACCGGAAAGATTACAATATAAAGGCAAAAGGTTGAATGATGCAGGAAGCATGAGAAGATAGAAGGCGTGCCCAGTCCTGACCCAAAAGAAGTAGTCAAAATTCCACCATTTTAAGAAGTAGCAGCTGAACAAGAACCAATTGTATTCGAGGAGAAAGGCCAAGTTGCCCTGAAAGCGATTAGCCAAAAAAAAAAAACCAAAAAAAAAAACCACCCGAGGCTCCAGGAACTGATGGAATACCAATGGAAATTTGGAAGACAGCTACTGGGCCACCTGAATGGAAGAGACCCATACTTGTACCCATATCTTCCAGGGAAAGGTGACCCAACAGAGTGCTCAAAGGAGAATTTGTTTTGTATTTTTTAAATGATTGCTCTGGGACAATCTTTTCATATTTTACAAAACCCTTTCATCATTTCTCATAGTGATCCTGCTAGGTTTCTGGAGTTGGTAACACCTCGGTTCTTGGCTTCGCATGATGAAAGAATTCACGCCGAAGCCCGTTTTGTAATCCAAGAGGGTTTTTATGAAGGACAGGACAAGTTTCAGGTTTTATAGTCTCAAAGGAGTTCAGAACTGGGCCCCCACAACTATGTGGGAAAGAACATCCATGCGTGCGGATCTTGGCGGGGATTCTAGGAGGCCAGAAGCCCAAGAACCCTAGAGGCTGAGAGCACTTCCCGGATGTGCACCCGCATTGGGGAGGGAGACCCTCCCCCTATCTGTCTTTAACCAGGAGCAAGGTAAGAGCATCCCAGAGTGTTCTCCCTGCCCTTATTCTAGCCGACCCCCTGGCTGGGGGAAGGCGTGGTTGATGGTATTGGTTGACCCCATTGGCTGAGTTAGGCCCACCTGGGTGATGTCATGAGCCTGGGCCTAGTTTGGCCCACCCAGGTGTACCTCCCACCTGACTGGGGGAATGAGTACTAGCATGCTCAGTTTGGGGTCTTCCTAGGTGTCTAACGGTTGCCTGATTTCTTTCCAACCTCCTCTATGGGGGTCTTTGCAGGCATGAGAGGGACACCCCCCCTGTCCCTAAGCTAGCTACCCAACAGTCCCATAGGACAGAACTGCCCTTGAGGGTGTCAAAGACTGGAAATTCTTACCAGAGGAGAAAGTCTTCTCTTTGCTCCCGGGAGCTGTTGGTTGCTTCAAATGACTGACCTTTTGGTTCGAAGCCCAGTGGGTCAGCATCGGCTCGACGGCAATGAGTTTGAGGTTTTGTTCATCATTTGTTACTGTGGATGATTGGCTCACCCCTCTTGCCCATTTTTAAGACCGAGTGTTATACATGTGCAAGAGTACGGGCATCAGCTCTTTATCAGAAGGTTGCAAATATTTGAACCTTGTCTTTTGACTTGGCTATGTTTTTGACAGGGGCTGCTATATTTTATATTTATGTGCAGCTTCTGTCTCTCTTTCTCTGACTCCGCCCTCCCACTTGGTGGAGGGAGGGTACTTTTAACTTCTAATTCCAATTCTGCCACTTTTCTTTCTTTTTTAACATTTTGATAAGGTAGATATTGAGTACAATAAACATTATGAAATGTTTTGGATAAGGCAGGAGATACCTGACCCATGGAACAAATAGGCAGATTTAGACTTGGCGATAACTAAATTGTTCACAAAATTATTCTAAAACCTAATAAAGCAGTGTATTAGATTTCAATAGGAATAGAAAACCTCTAACATGAGTCATAAACAAAGTCTAGATAGATGAGATGACCACCAAACTAGAATTCTGTAAAACAATATCCATCTCAAGCCAAGAAAGTTCTGAAACTACATTCTGATTACCTTTGGAAATTATTCTATATTACTCATAAAATAAAAAGGCCTACCATGTAGAAAAGATTGATAATTTTTGAAAATTTAGAGATATCCCATAGTAACATTTGGATTCCTCAATTGTCTGTTAATTTGGTTCCCTAAAGTTTACATTTTTAAAAGATAAATACATAATTGGAAAGAAAATATTATAGGCTTATTTTATATTCTTTAGTTCTATGTGTAGTAGTCTAATATGGTTTCAAAATTATATATTAACCAAATAAATTAAAGTGTAATTATATGATATAATCCAGTCTCAAAATATCTACAACCTCATAATGATTTAAAGCACCTAACAAAAAAGAAACAAGGGTAATGCTTCATGCATTCTACAGTGTTAACTTCTTTTTAATAAATCTTTTTTACTGGGGGCTCTTACAGCTCTTATAACAATCCATACATCTACACTATCAAGCACATTTGTACTTATGTTGCCATCATCATTTTCAAAGCATTTTCTTTCTACTTGAGCCTTGGTATCAGCTTTTTTCCCTCTCCCCCCCACCCTCATGAACCCTTGACAAATTATAAATTATTGTTTTCATATCTTACACCGTGCGCAGTCTCCCTTCACCCACGTTGGTTACTTGTCACCCTGGGCGGAGGTGGGGATGGGGTGGGGTTCGGTTCCGGTTCCCCCTTTCTCCCCACCACCTTCCCAGGACAGCCTCCTGGTATCACTACTCCCATTAATGTTCCTGGGGGTTATCAGTCCTGGATGCCTTGTGTTGCGAGCTTTTATCTGTACCCGAGTACGTGCTCTGGTCTAGCCGGATTTGTAAGGTAGAACGGGTCATGATGGTGGGGGCGAGGAAACATGGAACAACTACAATGGTGTATGTTTCGTCCGTGCTATACCGCACCGTGGGCTCTGCCAGTTTTGTAAGTGCATCGCTTGACTTCTCTGGGCTATGTAACATGGGTGATAGTGCAAAGGGCTTGGTGCGAGGTCAGGGAGCCACCTGGGCTGAGCAGCATTCAGGTAAGTGACGGTACCCAAGTCTCAAGCTACACCGGCCTGGCCAGAGGGGCGTCGGCTAGCTTCTATCTTCGCGCTTCGCGAGATCCAGCGAGTGGCCCCGCCCCATCTGACTTCCTACCAATGAACGAGTTTCTTCAGTCGTAATTCCCCGGCCCCAAAATTCCTGACCAAGAAGCGAGCTCCTTCTTGCTCTAAGTCCCGCCCCTTGCCATTTGGACCAATGGGATCTCTCCGCTCGGCGCCGGCCCCGCCTCCGGCCTGGCTGCGGGTCGCGGGGTTCATTCCGGGGGCTCGGCGGAGGCTGCTGCTGCCTCAGTTTGAGTGCCGGCCGGGCCGGCGTCCCCGGAGGCGGTGTTCGGCGGGCAGGCGGCCAGGAGGGACGTTCGGGCCGCGGCGTCCGGGCCCCCCCTGAGGCCGCAGGCAGAGGCGCCACGGGACCCTGAGAGCCGGCCCGGCCCCCTTCCGGCCCGAGCTGGTCGGCGGGGCCGCGGGAGCCGGAGGGCGGGCCTGCCCGGCGGCGCGGGGGCTGCGGGGCGAGCGCCGGGCGCGCCGCCTAAAGCGCCGGCGTTTCGGACGGGCTTTGTGTCCCAGTAGCACCCAGCCGCCGCACGGCCCCGGAAGCGCTTTGACAACCCCCCTCCCCCCAGTGGCGTCGCACACCGACCCGCAGCCTGTCGCGAACCTTGGACCCGTTTGGCCCTCGACGCGCCGTGGCATCCCTGGGACCCCGGGAACTGTGATGGGCAGTGGCAGCAAGGGGGAAAGGTGAGTCAGGCCCGTCCTGCCAAAGGCTTTCCGGCTCAGCCCTCCACCCCCACCCCCGGGTCCGGGCCCGGGACTGGGGGAGTCCGAGGTGGGCGAGCCAGGAAGGGTGGTGATGGTGGACAGCTGGGCCTCTCTTTCCGCTGCAGGTTCCCATGGCGTCGGAGCGGCGCAAGGTCAAGAACCACTGGGTCAGCTCTTCGGCTGGGGGGCCCAGCGAGCTCAGCTGCCTCCGGGAGCCCAATCATGTGGCGGCCACCGCCCGCCGGCCGGCCCTCCGGCCCGCGTCGCCCTCGGGAGCGCCCAGCAGCCCCAAGCGCCTGAGAGCCGGCCAGGAGGACCATGTGGCCAGCACGCCGAGGTTGCTCCGGGGCCCATCCGGCCGCCGAAGTACCGCCTCCCGGGCCTCCGGGCCAGGTGTGGGTGGGGCTCGCGCCAAAGGTCGCCTGATGAAGAGCACTGGGGGCTTCCTGGGCCCTGCCAGCCCCTCTCCGGAAAACATGGCTTCTTTCGAGGAGGAAGCTGTCAGCCCTAAGGTAGGTGGCTGCGACTGCCACTGCGACTGCTTGCCGCTGGTGAAGCCCCCTTCCACGTGGTTCAGGAGGTTGGGGGTGAGGATGTTGGTGGAAGGTCACTGGAGAGATCTTGTCATTGGAAGCCCCTCAGGGGTCTGCCCAGACGTCTACTCCTTGCTTACCCAGAAGGCCCCGAAGTTGGCCTGACATTCAGTAGAGGCTGGGTTTTTTTTCAAACATGGCAGCACATGGGGGCGACCTTTGAACCACGTGGACTGAATTTGACTGGGCTGCAGTGTGGTGTGGCCAGCCTGGAATGCATCCTAGAGACACACATGTCTTGTGTGTTGGCTGTAGTGTAAAGTTTGGCTTTTTACCAGAGCGGTGATTCTTGCCGCTGTGGGACCTTGCTTGGTGGTGGGAGGAAGTTGTTTGGAGGACAAGGGTATCTTCCCCCCTTTGAAAACGTAGTAGTTGGGGCAGGCTATTAAAAATCCATTGCTTTCTAGTGGATTCTATCTCGTAGTGACCCGGGAGGACAGGGTTTCTGAGGCAGCTGTGTCCTTCTTCCAGGGAGTGGCTGATGGGTTCAAAGCACTAACCTCTGGGTCAGCAGCCTAGTGCTTAACCCACAGTGCCACCAAGACGCCTTGGGGACGGGCTGGGGAGATGCATTTCATCTGTTTACTCTGCCAGGCTTTGAAAAAGTGCCGGGGGTCTCCTTTGTATGGGTGGAGCCTTGGTGGTAGAATGGGTTACACCTCGGGCTGGCTCCGAAACGGGCAGCTCTTCTGTGTCCTATAAGGTCAGAAGCGACGCCATGGCTGTGTGAGTGAGTGGGTTTGTGCCGGGCAGTGTTCTAGGTAGGAGACTCCAGAAGCAGCCAAGATCACTGCCTTCCAGGTGCTGACAGTCCAGGTTTGGGAACTGCAGGCCTTCCCAGGTTGAGAGGCGTTCTGCACTTGGAGATGGGGAAAGACAAGACAAACCTGTTGGTGCCTCACAGGAGACCCGGTGGTATAGTGGGGCTCACGCTGGGCTGCCAACCGCAAGGTCGGCACTTGGAAGTCACCAGCTGCCACGAGGGAGAAAGATGAGCTTCCTTCCTACCTCCTTGTTCTTGACGGTTTTAGCAGTCTCCCTGTCTGATGGGGTCGCCATGAATCGGAGCTGCCTCCTGGCTTGCTGCCTCTTGGCTACTGCGTGCGTTCCAGAGTAAGCTGTCCACGGGGCTGTAAGCGTTGTGGATGCAGGCCGTCAGACCTTTCTTCCGAAGCTCCTCTGGTGGGTTCCAGTTGCCTTTTCCATAGTAGCCTCACAGACCATTGGGGGAGCCCAGGGAGGGTCTTGTTTGTTTACAGTGGGGTGGGCTGCCTCTGGAAATTATGTTGCAAACGTAATGAACAGGCCCTCAGCAGGAAGGGCTGGTTTTCGTAAGCCTTTGCTCAGCGATTTCTAAGAGCTGAGGGGTGAGGCTGTAGTTAGCTTTTCCTCTTGGGGATTCAGTATGGACCCCAGTCAGACTGTTTATGGGCACGTGTTTTTATTTATTTTTCATGATAGTTTGTAAAAGCCACCGATTTTGGCTTAAGAAAACAATCATTTAAAGATAAGTTAGTTAAATATGAAGCTTTGCTCAGATAAATTTTTTTCGTGTCTTACACTGACCAATAGCTCCCTTCATCCACTTTTCTGTTCAGACAAATTAGTTTTATTAGTAATCCTTCTTGATACAATTTCAGCGGACTTGAGGACAGTGTATAATAACAGGGATGAATTACATTTCACTTCATTAACATTTCCACATGGAGTGGAGCCTGGTATTAGGAGGAGCAGGAAGTTGATTGGCTCAGTCTTTCAGGTGTGCTGCTTCCCAGCTTAGTCTGTTCTGCTGGCCCAAAGCGCAGGCTTAGATAGATGGGGCTGAACCTAGGATGGACCCACCTTTCTCTCATTAAGGTCTGAGCAGGCTTGTCTGCAAGAATGCAGTTGGATGGCGTGTAATGGAGTGATGGGGGCAGTGGTGACTCAGTGGTAGAAGTCCCCTCCAGACTTAGGCTTGATTCCTGGTCAGTGTTCTTCATGCACAGTCGCCACTTGTGTGTTGCTATGATACAGACTGCACTCAGAGGGACTGGGAATCACAATTCCACACGTCAGTCTCTGGAAACCCTATGGATCTCCTTGTGCACAGGGCCACCTGGGGTGAGAGCCAGACTGTGCTGGAGCCCACAATAGGGGAGAATAGACGGGTGCTGCCTCACACAAGCGTCGCTTCCCCCTGTGCCTTTCCTTCATGAAGTCCATGTGGGAGGGCTTTGTGTGCCAGGTGTTTCTGCTGTCTGCTGGAGTCATGGGACGCCCCCTGTGGTGTGAAGGAGCCAGGTGTTGAGGGTGGAGGCTGGGGAGCTTGATGGGGGGCAAGCTGCAGGTAAGTCGGTCTGTGAGGTGCTGTATGCTGAAATTCACTACAGTAGTGGAATTATTGCCAAGCGAAGGTGAATTTGCATTTTAGGAAGATCACTGGTGTTGAGTGAGGGTGGGCCATGCAAACATTACTATCAATTCTAAGAGTCCATGGGTGGTGCAGATGGTTAACAATTTGGCTGCTGGTCAGAAGGTTGGAGGGACAGTCCATTGTGGGGCACGCATCTGCTCTGCAGCCCCTGGGGCTCTCACCAGTGGTTTGCTTGCATTGTATTCTGACCGCTCCAAAGCGGCCTTTCATCCTCCCCCAGTGCCGCCTCTACAGGGTTGGCAAACTGGCAGGGCCTGCAAAGTCCTCGTAGTGTGTCAGTGTTTGGAAAACCACGTTCGACATTTATACCCCCAGCCTCAGTCTCGACCCTGCCTTCCTTCCCCCATTGCTTGTTCTCTTTCCTGATCCTGACACTTTTCTTCTCTGATATACACAAGAGTAAGTCAGAAAGTGCTGCTACAAAACCATACAGTCCTGTAGTAAATATCAAAATGTGAAGCTGTTGTTTTCAACCTCATCTCCATCTAGGCCTGCACTTCTGAAGATGGTGCTTATATCTCCCAAATAATTCTACTTTCTTCCATTTACACTGTGTCAGAACAGTAGTTTCGGCTTCCTTGAGGGATTCAAATTGTGTTTTAAATATTTTTTGAGGTTTGGAAGCAAAAAGAAGTCCAAAGGGGAAGGCTTGGGGTTGTGGGTGGAGGGGGAGGTTTCCTAGGGACAATCTTTCTTCTATAAACAAGTAGGTATGTTGTGGCAGGAAGAAAATTCCTTGACCCACCTTTCCTGACCTTTTTCTCGCCAGTGTGATTTTTCTGAAAGCTTCTTCCTAGCCGTCCCCGTGGTTGTCCCATGTCCCCAGGAACAGCTGTCGGGATTGACTCGTTGGCACCTGAAGCACAGTGACCTAGCCTGCGCTGACATCTCTGTTCTGACTTGGTGTACCCAGCAGGTCCCGCAGGAGCCACTATTTTGATTGGCCTGTTTTGAAGGCACCCTTACAAGACGCAGTTCTCAGTGTGTGTGACTGAGAACTGCAGCCACCCCACAGACCTGTCTCCTTCGGAACAAACCCATGAACCGGAGCCCTGTCTTGATGCTCTTTGACTCCTCCTTGTACATGGACTTGCTTTTCCTTAGGTTTTCTCCTCGATCGATCGGTCACCAGCTAAAGGAGGCAGGCATGTTGCATTTTTGACTGCTAAATCCTCACTTCAGGAGCCTTGGTGGTGTAGTGGTTATATGTTGGCCTGCGATCCCCATGGTTGGCAGTTCAAAACCACCAGCAGCTCTGCAGGAGAAACACTGGGCTTTCTACTCTGGTAAACAGTTACAGTCTCTGAAGCCCAGAGGAGGGAGGAGGGAGGCACAGTTGCTATGAGTCAATTTGGAAATCCCCAACTGTAGAATAGAATAGTACCTGCTGGCACGTAGTAAGTACCCAATAAGTACTTGTTGAATGAAAATGTGTTAAATCCCAGATTCTAGTTTTGCTTAAAAAAAAACAAAAGCAGAATCTGTAACTCTGGGTCTGTATCCCAAAGTGACTCCACAGTTGGTGAGTAGCAGTCTTGCACAGGTGGGGGGCACGTGTTTGCCACCAGTTTCTGTGTTGTCTCAAAGCTGGCGTGGAGTGGGGCAAAGATGGGCACAGCAGGCAGCGGAGGAGAAACAGAGAGGCCTGTTGGACCATTGGCGTTTACTGAGATTAAGTGGCACTGGGGCAAGAGTATGGCAGGCAGAAGAATAAGATATACCAGTGACCGTGTGTAAGAAGGAGGCTAGGCTCCAGGGGTGTGGTTTGACTTAGTCTGAAGAGGGACCACAGACGTCAGCTGAGGGAGTTTTTAATTGCTGACAAACATACAGAGAAGAAAAGTGGTTCCTGATTTCTTAATTTACCAGAGACTTCCTGGTAAAAGAAAGTCCATTATGTATAAAGTTAGAAAATTCAGAACTTTCTAAGGCTCAAAATGAAAGTAAAAGCCAAAGCCACTTCGTTTCTGCTGATCTCCCCAAAGCACCAAACCGAGCTGCCAACAACTTGAGCCCTTGGAAAAAATGAGACTGTTTTAAAATCTCTACTTCCTTGTTTACAGAAGCTTAGTGGGCTTATTATGCTTTTTTAATAAGAAGAGATAGGTACTTCTTGGGGGAATGGTCAAAGAATAAAAAAGTGTAAAATAAGCTTGTTCTTTTCCTCTCATTCCTCATATAAGCAGTTTATCCTTTCAGACTGTTTGCAAAGAAACCCAGACCCCAAACTTACCACCAAATGCTCATCAATTTTGACTCACGGCATAGGGCAGGGTACCACTGCCCCTGTGAGTAACTGCGGGAATAGAAAGCCTCGTTTTTCTCCCTCAGAGCAGTTGGTGGTTTCAGACTGCTCACCTTCCAGTTAGCAGTTCAGCATATAACCACTATGCCAGCAGGGCACTCTTGTTTGCAAATACATACACGCAAAACATTGTTTGCCCTTTCCAAAGACATGTGCTTGCTGCTCTGCTCCTGACAGATGCCCCGTTGCCTCTGGCCT